AAGTAATGGCGGTGTGGATCTGCTGCCTGGAGAAAGACTTCTTGAGCTTGAGTATGCGGATGATATTGTCTTACTGTGCGATAATCCCCAAGCCATGCAATCCGCACTTAGTCAGTTGGCCATCAGTGTCCGTAGGTATGGTATGTGCTTTGCACCTTCGAAGTGCAAAATACTTCTACAAGACTGGCAGGATCGTAATCCTGTACTCACCCTGGATGGTGAACAGATAGAAGTAGTCGAGAAGTTCGTGTATCTGGGTAGCTGCATAAGTGCTGGTGGTGGCGTGAGTAGTGAGATCAACGCATGTATAATGAAAGCCAGAGCGGCTCATGCCAATCTGGGCCATCTTTGGCGCCTTCGTGATGTTAGTCTGGCTGTAAAAGTTCGGATTTACAACGCGTCGGTGAGAGCAGTTCTGCTCTATGCTTGTGAAACCTGGCCTCTCCAAGTTGAGGATGTTTGACGACTCTCTGTGTTTGATCATCGTTGTCTCTGGAGGATTGCTGACATCCAGTGTCAACACCATGTTAGTGATGCAGAGGTTCGGCATCGTGTGTTCGGGCACAGAGACGATAATGCAATTGGTGTCACCATCTTGAAACACCGACTTCGGTGGCTTGGACATGTTCTCCGAATGTCGTCCCAGAGAATTCCACGTCGTGCATTATTTGCCGACTCTGGGACTGGTTGGAAGAAGCGGAGAGGTGGTCAGTATTTGACATGGTGTCGTGGGATGAAAAGAAGCTGCAAACGGCTGGCTTCTGTTGGTCCTTCACGACTCCCTGGTTGGGGTCCGAGAGATGGTACAACACAGTGGCTCGAGACGTTATCAGATATGACTCAGAATAGAAGCCAGTGGCGATCCTGCTGTAACCTTATTTTGCTTTCTTCATAAAACGTGGTTGTATCTTCCTTAACTGAAGGGTTTCTTCTGATTGTACCTTTCCGTTCCCCCATTATTACCACTATTATTATTACACTACCTTACACCAATCTCTTCGTTATTGTTTTTTTAAATATTTTTTTTGCGTTCCCCACTTTTTTCTTTTTCTTCTTCTTAAATTCTCATTGTTTTGTGTGGCGCATATATATTTGGCGCAATCCTGTACCAATATATATGTGTTCAAATAAATAAATAAATAATAAATAAGTCTTTTGAATCCGTTGAGTAGTAATTTAGGGATTTTTGGGATAAGTTTCTCTGCAAACGCTAATTATTGCTTCAGGACTCGTCCGTTCATAGGGAGTGAAGTAGTGGATCGTGTTATCCAATCCACTTATTTTGGAGGCCTCATCAACCCTGATGCGTTGATTTCTGGTGACATTTTAAGATAAATAAATTGCTCACTTTTTTCCCAGTTTTCTCCACTTACGTTACAAGTAAAATGCCCTCGTGTTTCTCCAATTCAGAGTACACCGCACAGCGGTTTAACCTGTACTAATTTATGGGAGTGAAATATGGACTGTAAAAGTTGAGGGTATGTATAGATTACTAGTATTTGAGGCAAATATAATAAGTTGATTGATAAGGCAGTAAACTTTGATGAGCTGAGGCCATGGTTACCGAGCTGTGTAGTAAAATGTGGAATTCCTGTTTGGAGCTTCCGCGGTACTCACAATCTACGGTTGAATCTTTTCCAGGGTTTATCTCAAAACTGGGCTCAGTGACGTAGTTGGATCATTTCTTAAGCTGAACACCATTCCATACTTTTGTTGCACTATCTCATCCTTCCTATTTAAGTTATACTTTATGCTTCACTTTCCAATGCAGTCGATATGGTCATTTTGTCTTTTGTTTATTTTTTGGTGGTTCCCTTTCTTATTATGCTGATACAAAATTTTGCAACAGGAACCAATACATATCCAGACGAAGTCCTACATTATTGGTAACTGACAGACTATTTTACCGTTTTCTGCTTACTATTATATCTTAATCATAATTAAGTTTCCTATGAAAATAGTGCAAACGTTTTAGTAACTTGCCTTTTGAATCTGTATTTTAAGTTGTAATACACCTGTTCAGGTTGTAATATTCCAGTTGATAGAGAATTCAAGTTCTGACCCCTTACTACCTTGTGTGAATTGTTTCTCCAAATCTCGCTTTTCATTCGTTGATTATACGGCGTCATCCATGATAGTCAATTACCATAATCTGTGTAGAATCAGTCAATTACATCATTGAATAAAATATTTATCGATTTTATTTGTTGTAATATAGTTCCCCAGTTATACATAATAAAGAATTAAATAACTAGTACTACACATTGAGGTAACTAATTTTTGCAATTATCCTAACAACTTGTTTGCAAATTGAAATGTTTTCACTCAAATATTCTATGTCAAATCTTTTAATAATCAACCTTTGTTTGTATCTTCTACTAGCTACAAATGCTTGTTTAACAACTGCTGAAATGTATAGTCTACATTTTTAAAGTTACATTTCTCAGGTATTAAATACTCAAGTACAACAAATTGATGACTTAGGATTAACTCAGAAATTTAAATCTATTTTTTAATGGTTTATAATTTCATCATGCAAACCAGACTTCATAGTTTAGCAGTTATACTAAGTAATGAATTAGAATTCAGTCATACGGTATGTTTCCAAATACTCTGAAATTTCTAATATAAGCGGGGTTCACATTCTCTTTTAGATAAGAATGCAAAGCATTCGTTGAATATGACTTAGGAGGGACCAAAATAACCATTTTTAAAAGAACAATTAAACTGATGGATGCGTCATTTGATGATCTATGAAAGATAAGTTGCCGTTTTCAGCCATATCAATGTGTGTCTGCTAGTGTTCTTGGTCTTGTGGCTATGGTTATATTGGGCACACAAAACATTCTCTTTTCTCAAGTGAGATTTATCTAATACAGCCTTATGATTTGACAGTATTTGAAAAAAAAATCATGCTTCTTAACCGATGTCAATCCAGAAAGTCATAAAATTTTCAGTTGTTAGAAATATTTGTTTAAATTACTTCGGATAATGGAGGTTACAACTGTGTATGGAGAATAAGACGCTGAGTATAGTCATATGAACTTTTATCGATAAGTATTTTCTTGATATTAAGCTTATTTTATTAATCAAAAGGGAATGAGGTTCATCTAAATTCATTGTTAGCCGAATCTGATAAACATTCAGTCTACAGTATAGAACTACAAACTGTTTGTCGAAACCTCTTCACTCCATTCATCATTATCCCACTATATTCTTGAAAAAAGTGTGGTTATTTTATTTATGGTTATGACTTAGTATAGCTATTTTATATAGTCTCACTGTAGTTAATATTTTGTCAAATAACAAAATATCTTGAGTCCATGATCGAAAGAAGCGACAAATTAACTATTGCGAGAACTGGCGCTACTTTCTCATTGTAGAGATTATGCGATCATTTCGTTTAGTATGATAACTGATGTCCAGAAAAAACTGGACGGTAAATTAGGCTTAGAGGTACATCTCTCAGAACCTCTAACCGGATTTTGTAAATGATGCCAAAGGATGAATTCGAAGCTGAATATCCTTAATTTACTACATGTTACAGAATAGATGATATGACTAACCTGTTGCTGAGTTATGCTTATGCTTGTTTCCGAATAGGATGAAGAAAAGGTATCGCCAAAGGATTTATGTACCAGAAGAGTAGGTAAGCTGGTATATATACACATTAAATCGGTCTGTCATGGGATTCTATCTTTCACATGGAGGTATATAAGAGGATAGCTACAGTAGGTTAAACTGATATTTACTGTATTAAACGTTCTAGATGACTCTTCATGACAAGATAATCTATTCTGATATCATACTAAAATTGTGCTGGTATTAAAATCCAATTAAGTTTATCAATTGTACTGTTTTTACTGTAAATCAGCTTTTTTATTTCGGATGTATCGATAGTTATTATTAAAAATGTAATCTGTTATGCATTTATCTTATTATAATTAAGGTTTTTTGAAATTTTTTTAAAATTAATGGATGGTGTATGAATATACTTGCTATTGAGAATATAATTGGTTCGATTTCTGTCTATAATAGTCATTAGGTGGTTTTCCATTCAAGTCAGGATGTTTCAAAGAGTAGGTAGTTTTTTTTAATGCTTAATATTGGGATCATTGATGTGGTACTGGTAAATTTTCAGTTCAAAATGATGTACTCATTCTAACCAGGCTTTACTGACTGATTTGGTTTAGTACTCCCAAATTAGTGAAAATTCATACAGTTTCGTTCACTTCTACTTTGTAGTATTAGTTATAATGTATGATCGCTTTGAAAAATGGTCAAATAGACTAGAAGTATATATTACTGAACTACATTCAAATATGAATGATGGACATGCTTTCTCAAAACACTCTACAAATTTTTACATTTTCTTTAGAGTGATCGTCTTTTTCTTTATGCTTTTTTACTTAGTATCTTCGATTAATAAAAAATCTGCCAATATATCCTTCTTTTTCTGCCTTCTTTTGTGGAGTTAATGAAGGGTTTTCAATTGATAAGACTGTTAGTTTTTTATACTGACTTGCAATCAACTCTGTGATTCTTATATTTTTCTTTTTTCTGCCTCTAAATCCAATCGTTTTCAGTTTTGATAGTTGTGTAGTATCATTCAGATGTCAGTTTCTGTGTGCCATTAAGACAATTTTAGTTTACTTGCCTATCTGAACTTTCATGTCTTGTGCATGAATTACTTGTGTTATTGTTATCATTATGTATTCTGTACTTAGTACTATAGTCATATGCCAGTTATTTCAATAAACGTAAGTAGTTTCGTTGAGCATAGGCTCAGTGGTTCGAACGTTTGACGTTCAACCACCAAGTCACCCCATCAGGTTCCACACTATTTCCTCGTGGACAACCAGATAGTGTAACTAACTCACACATAAAGCTTGCCGCGAAGCCAAGGGCACGAAACTGTACTATGATATTCTTTATTGATTTCGGTGATCAAATAATTTCATTAACTGGATCGTTCATTTTTATTACTCTTTTTATTTCAGCTCAAAGGATGTATCATCGTCCGCCGGTAGTCATGTTGTTCATTCATTAAAATCAAATGTAGATGGTAATTCATTAAAAACTGTATTGTTAGATGAAGATTTGAATGTTCACTTACATTCAAATGTTTTAACTAATTTGACTCCAGATTGTACAACAACAACAACAACACCGTCTACCATTCCGATTAATCCATCTAGAATCAACACTTTGTCGTTTAATACATCCAGTAATCCAGTCAACTCTGTTATGGGTAATCAACATGATACTCATGTTCCTATTTCTAATGATCCAATTAAACCACCAATAAATGTCAATATTGATGTAAGCAAATTTCGAAGTATAATCTTTAAATAATTCTTATCACTTTGTAACATCGTTATTCTTAAAATCAAGTGAAGGCTGGTAATAACCGTATGTTTATTTTTCATAAATGTTCGCGAAAAATCCATTTTATCCTGGTAAAATTAGGTTTATACTTTGTAATGTAACTAATAGTCAATCATAAAAATTATGCAGGGTCTGGCACTAATCTCAAATATCAGGTTTCAACACTATAACTTAATAGAGGTGCTCTCATAACGCGATTTACTACCTTGGGTCCGGTCACTTATTAGATCTTTGGATACCCTATCAAGACCTTTCGTACTTAAATAAATTTATTATTTCAAAATACCTGATATTTAGCGTTCCATCAATTGATACCAGTTAGTAATGATAACTGTCGTCGAAGTAAACAGGTCTACACAGACACCAAATTGATCACAATCTTTTATATTTGTTAATAAAGTTGATTAAATCATTATTCGTAGACTTTACGGTTAAAGTACCTGCCCTACCTACTTTTGTTTTGGAAACCTTCAAAAAAGAAATGTGTTGTTCCATGACGGGTCGAACAATTTTTATTTTTATGGTCAGTTGCACAAGGAAACTTTGTTATCAATATATAAACACAATATAGACTACGAGATTAAAGGTGGAAACTTATTGAAATTTCTTGTTATTACTTGTAAATTGTAGGCAATAGTAAAATTTTGCTTCGCCTACTTCGGGTAGTCGGATGGTGTTATTGACTTTGACACAAATAAAGAGTATATCAAATCTGACTACATAAATCTAGACTTGATAAATGAGTTAATTTAGTTAAGTTGATTTCGAATAATACCTGTTTCCCAACTGCCTATATAAAATGTTAACTTATTTCTCTCCTAACTCCTAATGATTATTTTTGTGCAGTCAACGATTTTAGAGCCTTCTTTAACTGTGTCCAAATGAATTTATCAATGTTATTAACAAATCTACTGCTGATACGATACGTAAGAAAATGTTTTGACTATGCAAGTGTGTTAATACAATCACTAGTACTCCTTTGTTGCCTTTGTTAAATGAATATCATTTCTATCATTCATACAAAATTGCATTCTAAGTTAATTAACTACTGAGCTTACTGTTTGTTCAACGCTCATTAATGCCACACCACTTTTTAATGATTATTTATCATTCCACTTTTACTAAAAATATGTTTCAAATGCATACAACCTGCTTCTAGTAATTTGTATTCTTTTTTTCTCCCTCCTTCTCTCTCTCTCTCTCTCTCTCTCTCTATATATATATATATATATATATATATATATATATATATATAGAAAACGAGGAACGTTTCCGATCCTACGCCACCATGTTTATCATCATCAAAACTGAAAATGAATTCATCACCACCAACATCTACACTTGCAATTGATAGCAACGATCAAATTTTTAATAAAGTTACCGAACCAACTTGTATACCCATTTCTATACCAAATACTAGAAATTCCGCATCCATTTCTCGTGCTCCTCTTCTTCATTCTTCTCCTTCTCCGATAACACATACTTTATCGGAAAATCCTCAAATCAGACAACGTAATGTTACTACGATTACTACTACTGCTACTACTACTACTACTACTAATACCACTATCACAATTGATAGCAATATTATACCAGGTGCTACTGGTTCAAAGGTGCTCAGATCAAAATCACATCGTCTATCAGTGGTTAAAAAGTAAGCCTATGAATTAATAATTTAATTGTCAAATAAATCATACACATAAATTATATATCTATTATAATTACGACATATTTAACTATAATCAGAGAGGAATTTTGTGGATATTACAGTAATTTGATTATTGAATTCATGAGTTAATTGAAGTTAGACCACTATAGAAAACCTGGGAGCACTAGATGGCCGTTTCGTTCTAGTATGAGACTCCTCAATAGTGCGCATCCACGATCCTGCCTCGCGAGTTCGCACCCAGGACCTATCAGTCTAGTGGTTAAGCGCTCGGGAGCGAAACTAATAGGTTCAGGGTTCGAATCTCGCGAGGCAGGATGGTAGATGCACACTGCTAAGGAGTTCCATACTAGGACGAAACGGCCATCTAGTGCTCCCAGGTTTTCTATAGTGTTCTAACTTCAATTGACTCAACAATTAAATTAATATTTAACTATACTTTCCGTTGTGTAAACTGGTTATGAGCAAATATCATTACAGTTAATGTGTAGATTTCTCTATTGAAATGATTTATATTCAACTATTCCCTCGTAATTTTTCAATCCACAAATAATATTTTAATTTCAAATTTCGATTTTGGCTCTGAACTTCTTTTCTGTCAAATAGTGTTAGGTATTTTGTTTTCTAAGAAAACTTTTTAAAACTAGTTTATACATTCTTTTTAGTCATATGTGATATGTAGTCATTCTACTCATATTCTGTTGACAGATTAGTTACCAACTAGGTGAGTTATGTATGTGTTGGGGACGATAGATCCCCAAACTCATATTTTAAAATTTATCTTATCGATCATCTTATTGATTAAATGTTAGATATTTTTATTGGAGTCAATTGATGAACTATCGATTACATGCGCAAATAGGTCAATTAATGAACTCATTGATTAATGTTTAAAAATTTTCTATCGATTGTAAATAATTGTATAAATACGCTTGACTTGTATGCTTGATCTGATCTGCCTGCCTGACTGGTTATCTGCTGTTTGTCTGTAGAATACACTTTCTACACCTTACCCAGACTTCTTGATCGAGTTAGCAGAGTTGGGGACAACGGACCAGAATAATCTATCGAGATTCTGAATCCTCGATCCGATCGATAAGTCACTGTCATATAATCGGCTGTCTCCTTGAGCCATAACAATTGGCGAATAAGTCGAATCAGTAGTATCCTCAAGGATAACGAACCTAACAATTGGCGACGGGGTAAAAAAATACAATCCAAAGTCATTCTGTAATTGGACGAAATCCAGTCTAATTATTCAATCAATCAGTATCCAGTTTGTCATCAGTGTCCCTGAACGACATTGGTCATTATTCATACAGTAATCTTCATTGCTGGTGCTGATCCAAAAAATGACACTCCCTTCCGATCGATTGCAGCTGCTCTTTGAACGACATTTGGAGTTATTAGTCAAGTTCCGCACGCAGCTGCTAAGTCAGTCATGCTATGAAGATGCGACGGAAGTGGATGGATTGATATCTGAGTTACACAGTGAGCTGGAAAATGACAGCAGCCTCCAGGAATCCTCGATTAACTGTAATTCAAACGGAACGGCAGTCATCCATGATGCGCCCAGTGGTCCAGTCCTCTCCATTCCAGAAACATGCCCAGTAATAGACTCAAACTCCATTATCCCCAAAACAGCATGTGCAGGCGGTGACTTATCCAGCTCACAAACACACTCCCTGGCAAATGCTCATAGAATTGTCGCAATAACCACCCATGAAACAGAAAACAAGTCGAGCAGTACACTGAATACAACTGCTTCAAATGGTTCTCATCAGTCTGCGACACATGTTTTTGACAAATCTTATTATCAAGATTCTCTTTTACCAGAAAATATGTCAGATGCATCAAATGATGATCAAAAACTTAATACAATTTTGATAGATGCTAATTACCTTGATGATCCATTATCTACAAATAAGATTCCAAATAAATTTGGTCACAATATTTCAGAAGAATTAAACTTCGAACACCTCATATCAAGTGTCGTTCAGCCTCAAGACTTAGTCACTTTCAGTCAATTCTCTGTTCAGTGCGATAAATATGTCTTAAATAAATTCAAGTTAATTATAACGTCGGCATATGAGGATCCAACACTGTTTCGTGGGGGAGGATGGACCTGGAAAACTTAAAATCCGGATATCAACTCCGGATCTTCTAAAAAGGGGAGGAGTGTTGGGGACGATAGATCCCCAAACTCATATTTTAAAATTTATCTTATCGATCATCTTATTGGTTAAATGTTAGATATTTTTATTGGAGTCAATTGATGAACTATCGATTACATGCGCAAATAGGTCAATTAATGAACTCATTGATTAATGTTTAAAAATTTTCTATCGATTGTAAATAATTGTATAAATACGCTTGACTTGTATGCTTGATCTGATCTGCCTGCCTGACTGGTTATCTGCTGTTTGTCTGTAGAATACACTTTCTACACCTTACCCAGACTTCTTGATCGAGTTAGCAGAGTTGGGGACAACGGACCAGAATAATCTATCGAGATTCTGAATCCTCGATCCGATCGATAAGTCACTGTCATATAATCGGCTGTCTCCTTGAGCCATAACAATTGGCGAATAAGTCGAATCAGTAGTATCCTCAAGGATAACGAACCTAACAGTATGCAATATAAGACTTGACATACTTGGTAAATTAAAATAAAATAACGAAAAAATACATGTCTTGTCACCTGTCTATAGATACGTAAATTGAGTTAATGCAGTTAGTAAACTCAATGCAAAGTTCTTTTTCAGCCGAACTTGTACTTTTAGCCAATAACTTTTGATCCAGCCACGAATGTCGAGAAAGCCGAAGGTTTATTTCTTTTCCAACCGGTAATACAGAAAGAAAGGCGTATGTATTTATAAAAAGTTTTCGACGTTCCTTCGAGAATAAGCCGGTTAGCATACGAGCTTCATAAGGCCTTATTCAATAATGCGTAAAAGGTTTAAGTTCAAAATGGCAATTATTATGAAATTCTGTCGTGGCAGAACAGAGAATATTTTTATTCAATCTTTATACTTAATGCGTTTCCCGACAATATTTTAAAGCAAAAGAGGAAAAACCAACGATATTTAGTAAGTTTTTTCTGGTTGAGGATATTTAAGACAAATAAACTGATTAGGTGATTTTACGTCATGCGATAGGTATTTCTGTGTTTAGTTCACTTAGATTTATGCTATTTATAACATTTGCTCATCGTATTCCACTCTTCTGACTTGACACAAACTGATGGGTCTCACTTTATCTTCATGAAACTACAAGTGTCGCAAATTGCCAAATATCTACTAAGATTTTATTGATCACCATTATGTCAAATCTTCAGATAAATGAAGTTCAAAGTCTGAACATTACTATCACCATTGTATTCTTCTGACCAGGCTAGTCGTAAAGATATTTTTCTAGTAACATGAATTACATAGTGTTTATAAAGGACGCATGAATAAAGTTAAAGTCAAATTTATGAATTTGCACACGCTCATCATAACCACTCCATACCCACCATTTAGAATGTTACATTTAAGTTATTATCGTCAATATATTGATTAATGGTTTTGAAAATTTTAAGTTGCCACCTTTTAAAGTGTTCGTTCTTCATTAAACTTATGTTTCCCTAACACTTTCCTTCCAGGAGGTCCACTTATCGACTTAGAATACGCAGATGACATAGTCCTGTTTGGTGAAGACGCTGACAAAATGCAGAGTCTTCTGGTAGCACTAAGCAACAATGCCAGAATGTTTGGAATGCGCTTCCCTCCATCTAAATCCAAGTTGTTGCTTCAGGATTGGCTGCGTCAACACCTGAACTAAGGATAGGGAGTGAAGTAGTCGAACGCGTTGACAACTTCACTTGGAAGTCTGATCAGCCCTAATGGGTTGGTGTCTGACGAAATCTCAGCACGGATTCGAAAAGCTCGTTTGGCTTTTGCCAACTTACGTCACCTATGGCGGAGGCGAGATATCCATCTATCAATTAAAGGACGAGTATACTGCGCGGCAGTCCGTTCTGTTTTAACTTACGGCAGCGAAACATGGCCATTAAGAGTAGAAGACATTCGTAAGCTACAAGTATTTGACCACAGATGCCTCGGAAATATTGCTGGCATCTGCTGGGATCACCGGGTAAGTAATAGTGAGGTTAGACGCAGGGTATTAGGGAAGGATGGTAAATCAGTCGATGAGGTTGTGAATCTTCATCGACTGAGATGGTTGGGCCACGTATTACGTATGCCTGAACACCGATTACCACAACGTGCAATGCTAACCGGTGTATGGGATGGTTGGAAGAAAGTTAGGGGCGGTCAAACCAAAACGTGGCATCAGTGCTTGAAGTCACTAACTTCTAGTCTGAGCCATGTTGGTAGATGCAGACTACTTGGTTGGGGTCCGCGTGACTTTCGTAACCAATGGTTGGAGACTCTTGGTGACATGGCTCAGAATCGATCACAATGGCGTCGGTGTATACACTCTCTGTCTTCCCTTAAACTAAGAGATTAAAATTGCTTCATATCTTTCTTTCTACGAACTAATTCTTCCTTCCTATACTATATCCTTATTGCAACCTTTGACCTAACCACTCCTATGAATCCGGTGTTCATCTTGTTGTGCTAATGAGGTATGGCAACCTGGACCGATGCACATATGTGCCTGGTTCTACGTTGTAGCTGACTGACTGACTGACTGATTTAAGGGCAATTTATATCACTAACTGACATCAGGTAGAAAACCACTGAAAATAGTAAAACGTCGACCGTTTGTATCGTCATAGGTTTGGATACCACAACAGTTCACATCTACGATTTTGTATTCGATCAAACTCAAAACATTCCATTCTCATCAAATACATAATATCTTTCCACAGTTATCTCTAAATTTAAATGTTCGGTTATTAAAATTCAGTACATTTGTCATATAATAAACAATATTTGCAACCAATATCATTAGGTTAGTTTCTGTCTTATTTTCAATGTAGTTGACTCCACATATCATGATTTCAGACAATGTTAGTTTGTAATTGTACACAATCTTCATCAAACCATCTTAATAAACTATGACTATAGTTTCTACTAACTTCTATATGTATATTCCTACTTATAACTAGTTTATCTATGAGATACTTGTCAAAATGATGTAAATTGTTTGGAGTAAAATTTTTCTGTTTAATACTATTTAGATTAACACAACTGAAATGGATATAATTAAACAAGTTTCATAAAAGGTTGTACAATTTAATTTATTCAAATTCATTTAACCGTGAACAGTTCTTGTTCTTATCTGTGCTGATTGTTTTGTTATGGTAAAGGAATGACTTTACATCCTTGTTACATCGACTATGGTAAAAGATTGTTGAGTGTTTTATTTTAAGTTTTAATCGGAATAAGTGTATACATGAATATACTTACTGTTTAGACGTTTTTACAAAAGTTTGTTGTACTTACTATTAACAATTACTGTAATTTAAATGAAATTTTAATTTAAGGCAAAGTACAATTAAGTTATGTGTACTTTAGTAAATAATAAGGTTTCAGGAAAAAAATTAGTTAATTTTATGAAAAAAAGGAACCGATCATCTGATTTCCTTAAAAATTATATTTGCCATAAGCCTAGTCTTGATATCGTTACAATTTATACCCTATTACCAACTCTCGTCACATTATTATTATTATCATTATTATTATTATTATTATTATTATTATTATCGTCACACTTGTGTTTCTCCTAATTCCTGCTTGCTCTTGTCATTTCTCTTCCACAACTGAAGTATTTCATTGTCAATGAAATTGTATTGCTTTTAGTTACTGTAGCATTAGTTATAGTCATCTGTTTCTTTTTCTATTTTTTTCAACTGAAAGCTTTCAACCTTATATCGAATGTTTTAAAATTTACTTCAAAGGAAATCTTTGTATAATAATAATAATAATAATAATAATAATAATAATAATAATAATAATAATAACAATATAAGCAAAGATGGATAGTGGCTAGCAGTGGAATCCAGGACGCGCGTTTCGTCCTGTTTGGGACTCGTCAGCTGGATGTACCTGCATCTCAGAGTTGATGTTCACTCTGGGACTCGAACTCAGTACCGTTCGCTTCAAACGCCACCGCGTTATCCACAGGACGAAACGCGCGTCCTGGATTCCACTGCTAGCCACTATCCATCTTTGCTTATAATGCTTGTAAATTTAGGCAATATCGAGGCATACGCACAGTATGCACATATGCCAATAAGAGACTGATCAATTTCAGTCCAAAAACATCAATGGGAAAATTCAAGTAAAACAATATCAAGTGAATAATAACAATAGTTATCTTATTCTTTGTCTGGCCTAATTGATCTACGTAATTAACTTATTAATTAAGTTTAATCACTGAATGTTCATGAATAACCTTTAGCAAAGGTGTAATTAGCTTATAATTTTATGTCATATCAGTTGACGAGGCTTTAAATATTCATGAGGTGACATGGCTGGTTCATGTATTGTATATGCACAATCACCTCGATGTGTGATACTGGCGTAAGTATAGGTTGAAAGCTGGGGACGGGAAAATCAAGAAGTAAGATTAGTCCATGAAGTTGTTGACTACTAGTCTGAGCCATTATCATAGCTGCAGACCATTACTACCGGTTGACTGAGTCCTAAGGTTGTTAGTCAACAGTGTTCTTCTAGTTCATACACTCACCTGTCTTTGTTCTAAACAAGTACAATTTTCTTGATTGAATTTTTCGACAAAATCAATATTGATTATTGATGAATTTATCTTTTCATCATGCAGATGGACCCACCTTTTAATATTCTTACAGATCTTAAACGTATTACTATTCATTGTTTACCTGCTTCTTCGGTTTATGAAATCATGAACCGATTTAATTTAAACCAACATTAAAAGCTAAAAGCACTGGACTATCGTTTAATCTTAGTATGGGATTCTTCAGCAGTGTGCATTCACGATTCTGCGCGCAGGATTCGGACCCACAACCTTCGCTTTTGTGCACAAATGCTTAGTCTCTCGACCACTGAGCGGGCATCTACCTGTGTTAAGCCGCAACCTCAATCAATCTGCGAAATCGCGCGACCATTTTCGATTGTCTTATGTTGCTAATATCTTCAATTTCCTTCATTCTAACTTTCTATTTATTAAACCCAATTTTCTGTTCTCATTTGAATTGTGGCTTATTGAACTAATTTGTATTCTTGCTTTTTAATTCTGTTCATTTAACATCCTAGCAACCGGAGATATTTTACTGACTAGTATTTGGTCGGTGATAATGAAGAGATTGGAAGTTAAGCTACTACTGAAGAACTGGTTCGCCATTCGACGTCTTACTTTTTGTTTAATCAACCTCGTAGTAAAAATGTATCTCTTACGCCATTGTAATTCTATACTTATTTTACTTGTATCTATGCTACTTGTCATTCTGATTAAATTCAATATGGTTTCCGTACTTCTTCGCCTTATAGCTATAACTTTTCTCATATGAATATATTTTCATCACACAAATCTATATGTGTTTATCTGAATGATTAAAATCCTGATCTCTGTTTATTTTTACTTTCTTAACAGATCTCATCCATGGATGCGTTATACATTTTGTTCACTGACAGTATTTTTGATTTACTGGCTTTTTAATGGTTTTCTATTGGGTCTAACTGTTGGTTGTATACTAACATATACATTCATTACAGTGTATAATTATTTGCATAGTCGTACAAACTATTCTAATCAAATTCTCTGTCCAATATCAGGATTGCCATTAGATCACTTATGCTGTTCACTGCATTATCGACAAGAACAAGAGGGCCAGTATCAAGGTTCACAATGGTGGCCAATCTATTCACCTGCTATGCCAAATTTAACTTCTATTTTAACTAACAACGCGAACAGTACTAATAAATGTCTGCAGTTAAGAAATTTGCCTAATTTCACTGTACCAAATATGCTTGAAGAAGATGTTAGCAAATCAACTATCTCAGGTCCATTGGGAAATAGTTTAGGTTTTAAATATGACAATAATGGACGGCCCGTATACAAAGGATGGTTAAATGAGGTAGGTTATTAGAAGAAAATAAAGACTATCGTTTTAATCAAATCATAATAAATGTCCTAGTTCTTTAATTTATAGTCGCTTTAAAGCTCATGAAAAACATGTATTCACCACTGATAAATTTTAAATTAGATAAGTGTTCTTTTGATATACTGGCACATTCAACTTTGAAGTGTCATCAATGAAATAATACGTTTCATAGAAAGAAAGAAAAAATGAAGTCCCTTATTTTTTAGAAAAAAAATTAATCTCAATGTGCATGTGTAACTAGACATCATCAGTATATGCTATAAAAGCTCCTATTGCTATCAATTTAACATAAGCTACAAACAACAATAATCACTTGTTACGATAAATCTAACAATTAATTTCATTGTGATAGAAAATCATGGTTTTGCTTTTCAGGGAAATAATCATTAATAAATTGATGTGATAACTAATATTCTTATGTCATTATCAGTTGTTGGTAATCTCGTTAATGATGTCGTGTAACTTTCCATCGTTTATATTCAGGACTACAACCGATCATTCTCTGTCCTTATATATTTGTGGTGGATGGATTGTTTCGATATGGATTTATATTTAATATGTGGTTGGCAGTGGAATTCAGTACGCGGTATTCAGCCTTTTTGGTAGTCATCAATCGGATATACTCTCATTACAGTGTTGATCTCTACATTGACACTCAAATTCAGTACCTGTCACTTCGAACCCTTGACATAATGATATATCGAGATAACTCACTCACTAAATGATGCACCTCAACTTATCTTTCTGTTGTCAGTGTTCAAACTCATCTAATCACAAACTAACTCGGCGATCAACAAATACCTGTTCATATTTTAGACTTAGGTATAGATTTTATCGTGAAAATTAATGATTCTAGGTGGAGCATGATTAGTACTTGCGACTTAATAACTGAAACATTGACCTTAACAACTGTATTGATTTCATGCACATAGTTTCCTTTATCAGCTTAAAGAGAGCAGAAATAAAACATTGAGCAGTATATCATGAGTTCATTTTATTTCCTTTGATTCTCGTCAACTGCTTAAAAACTGTAACATTTAAAAATCGCTAAATGGGTTTAAATTATTTACAGTAAGGAGTTTTTTAGAAGTTTGAATGATTGATACAGAGGTAGTGGCAATAGATTCTTGACTAGCCTAATAAACGCTCATCAAGTAATAGCTTAATAAAAATAATGCTGCTAAACATGAACTGAGCAAGTCGATATGATTCCTAATCTTTGAAAAAAATTCCATTAGTTTATTTACATTTGTACTACATACGTCAATAGACATTTGTTTACGTTTAAATGCTGGCAGTGGTGCCAGAGAAGTTCTACTCACTGCCTCCTCGCGGAGGGGATGTTGTTTGTGAAATTGTGAGGACGAAAAGCGAATGTCCGGCACTTTAACTGGGTTGGTGAATACGGAGGATCCACCTAGGGGAGTTGGAAAACCCTGATTCCAAACCAATAGTGCACATGGGCTCTAGTATCCTAAGAGAACAAATGGAGCATGAACCTATTGTTGGTCACCGGCTACCATGGGACTGCATCTCCTGACGTTGCTCCACTGCCTCATGGATTAGACATTCAGGTCAAGGTCCCGGGTGTGATGACCCCCTAAGGAAACCACCTACTACGGTTTGAACACCCGGGTATTATCCCAGCCCTCACACAAATCGAATGATAAAGTGTGACACTCACATATTTGAACCTCCTTGTGCCAATATTTATATTTTTAAATAAACAAATGAAATAAGTACGAAGTATTTATCTGTTTTTTTCCCTTAATAAAGTTGTCATATACCTTCTATACCAAATGGTATGTGTATCTTTTCTTTCTACAGATTATTCATTATGATCCTGAAACTCATCATATTGGCAAAACATTTTCCGTCTTCCTCACGCTTGATGGTACACAATTACGCCTACAACGCCCAGAACATAATATTACTCGTAGATCTTTATGGAATGATGAAATCCCATCAACTACAACTATGCGATTCAAACAACAGCATATTTATGATTTAGCTAATGCAACTGTTACACTCCTTCCATGTGGCTTAGTCGGCAAACGTCTATGGAGTAGAAAATATCCTATTTGTATCACCGTCTACACTGAAGGTAGATTCAAGGTAAATGCTAAAATGAGAGTTATGTTTATCAATAATTGATCTTTTGTTGTAAATTGTTTTTTGTACATATTACGCCACACGTTGCTTTATGTCAATCAGTCGTGTGCAACGTAGAACCTGTGACATAGGGAGATACAATTATTTCAAGGCAAATACCAGAGTAGTAGGAGTAGTAACAACATCAGTAGCAATATAATAAATTAGGCATAGAAAAAAGGGTCTAAGGAGGTTTCAGGACTCAGGGAAAGATAAAGATTGAATTCACCTGCACCATGACATTTCAAAGTCTCCAATCACTGGTTATAATAATCATGTCGACCCCAACCAGGTAGTCTACACCTACTCACATAGCTAAGTTCACTTGACAATGACTTCATGGACTGGCGCCATATTTTGGTTTAACGGACCCCAGTTTTCTCCCAGCCTACTCCTAGATCAGATAACATCGCTCTTCGAGCTACCATGTGGTTTGGCATATGAAACACATGTCCCAATTTCCTTAGTTGACGAAAATCTACTGCGTCATCAACCAATTTGCCATCTTCATTTAGTACCTTATGCCTAACCTTAAGATTCCTCACTCACTGGTCCGAAAATGCGCAAGTAATGCTTTGAAGTTACTGATATTTGAATACTGGTAACCCACGAACATTCTTTATTCTCAAGGGCCATATTTCACATCTTTAAATTAAAACAAACCGAACTGTTTTGTGTTGACTCGTCCTTTGGTCGGTAGATAAAATCTGTCCAAGGCTTTACAGAATATATTTTTTACGAACTTAATGTATACTATATTGTATATCAGTTTCTCTGACCATATCACTTTATTTCAAAGTATTTCGCTTTTGTTTGTATGTAAATTTAGTGTCAATACCTGTTCGCCTTGTTTGGATCTTAAAGACTTTTTCACTTTAATTCTCAATTACTCAACTAAAGAATGTTTGAAAATCATCTTAGCCATGTTTTATTTTGAAATGTATTCCGTAACAGTTAATAGAAACATGATGATATTGGAGAGGTTTTGATAACTACATCTCTAGACCCAACAGTTAGGGACTTATTTATGTAATTTTTCGTAGCTTTATTTATGTTATCAATAGATGTATTGTGATTGCGGTAAGAAGCCTTGTGGATTCAGGTTTCAGAAATGAGACAGCTATTTCCCAAACTATAGGGAATTTTTACTACATACTGTAAAACCTGAAAATGTTGCGTTAGAAAATAACTCATAAATGCATCAGGGTAGTTTGATTTCTTCCAGTGTATTCTTGTAATTTTCAATTTACTAGTTTCTTTGTAGATTATTTGTATTTGGTCTGGTGTTGGTAGTTTCAGGGAATAACTTCTGATCATTCTATGACTAAGAATAGCCATGCACAAATCATCCTGTCAGCTACATTCCTTCACTTTCCTTCATCACTAAAATGATGTTTTCTGACTTGACATTCAAATATTCCATTACGAAGTACGTATGTTATAATGAAAACAATATGAATTTGTAAACTGTAAATCACAATGTTTCACTCATGTTTACATTATGATTTGTTTGTTTTAATGAAAAATACATTCTGCTTTTTTTCTACAGCGCAAAAATGAAAGACTTGATTCACTACCATCATCGACGAGCTTTCCAAATATCATATTATCTACTAGCTCTAATATAGCAGTGAATGAATCCTCTGACTTGACCATGGATACCTCTATTCCATCAGCTGGAGATATGGAGTTCCCTGATGATACTAGTATCAATGTATTGCAAACTTCAAGCAAATCAAATATGAAAAATTTATATTTGTTTGGAAGAACATGTCGCGAAAAAGAAACATGGTACCGTAGATTGAAAGCTGCCTCATTGGGCACACCTCTTATATGGACACCTCAGATGGTAAGAAAATATTTTTTTTAGGTATATTGCAAATTGACAATTTTTTATAAATCTCATTGACCAGGTGACGTAATAATACCTTGAAAAAAAAGTTCCGAGACCACATTTTTGGAATTACATTTTGTGATGTTTTAAGAATTTTTGTCAGTGATCTTATGGATATGACGTAAATGTGACCAAGTAATGAAATTACATTATATCACAAATTGAGATAAGCTGAAACAAATTATTCTTCTAATGTTCAGTTACAAAGTCTAAATTGCATTATTTTCTACTGAAACTGATCACTGTGTTCTACTTTAAAATACTTGTTATTCTGTGTGACACATGGCATACAACTGTAATTTCGATCTAATAAGATTAACTCGCATGTCATTTTGCTTTCTGAATTTCCTAGATAATTTTTGATATGTTAATCAATCAAATTATCTCAAATATTCTAGAACTATCAGTCCAAGCAATTACAAAAGCCCCATTAAAACCCTGATGCCTAAATTCTTTCACATTGTGAACGGATTATTAGATAATGACTGACAATTCATTTTCCAGCAATAACAGTTCAAACTTAGTGTTGTGGATGCGGAGGAATAGACCAATAATTATCATGTTAAGTCCAATGGTGTCCTTGGACTTTAAATGGACATTGCCTATTGGTCGATATCTGTTCACTTGTTAAATATTGTACAAAATGTTGTTTTCTATTTTATGGTACGATGTGGTGTGCTTGATTGGTATATAAAGAAAGTATGTTTGAAATATAATGATTCATATCTCCGAGGCTGTGGCTTGTCTTCTGGACTCAACTAACTGGGCTAGACAGGGAAGCAGGACCAATCAGAACCCTAGGTCGTTCTACGTGTTTGTGCGTTTTTGGTCCGATCAATAATTCGCCCCCCTTAATCCGCAGCAATATTTTTTCACAGTCATAACACTTAGACATTGATATTGTTAGATTACCAACTCAGTGGTCTAGAGATTAAGCGCCCGTGAATGTGACCGAAGGTCCTGGGTTCGATTCCTGAGCGCAGGATCGTGGGTACACACTACTGAGGAGTCCCATGCTAGGATAAGGAGGTCGTCTAGTGCTTCCAGGTTTCCCATGGTGGGCTAACATTGTTCGATTCATAATTTAAATGAAATAACAATTTTGTTTACTTTCACCAAATTGAATTATTAGCTGGATCATTACCCATAAGTAATTCTAAGCTTAGCAATTTTGTTTTATTCCTCCAACGAATTTCGATCTTGACCATATCTTTAGATTTATAGTTGAAGAACCTGATGAGAACTTATTGAGAAGAATATTCTTCATATATATATATATATATATATATATATATATATATATATATCGAGTTCTTTTTGTAATGTGATTGGGATTTTTCAAAAAGATAGCCCCAATCGGTACTAGGCACAATTGCTTACATTATATGTAGATTGGTTTCATTAGTCACTACATCATCAATGCTCACATAATCACTTTCAGTTTTCGTCCCTCACATCTAATTCGTTGATAACACCACGTAATGGTGAAGCTTTATGTACTGTCAAATAAATTATTTTCACGTTTTGTTTAACCCCAATTTTTATCAGTAATCTATTGAGGTATCTTTCAATTGTGAAATTCATGATCATGGTGGTTTGGCGGATAAATATTCTAAAGATCAAACGTAAATCTATTTTTACGACTATTATGGTTATTACAATTTTTCTGTAAATTATAACATGCCCACTATACTGGGCCATACAATAATTAATCCTGTAATACCAAGTTATTCTTTTGATATTGTTAGAGTCAATGTTTTTTAATAATGATTTTTCATTTTTCAGTATTGAACTTTATTACATTGTTTTTATAAACTTGATGGTTAAATCAACTCACCCGTTTCCCTCTTATTTGTTTATAGGCTGTACAACATTATCTTTTGGCATCAGATATTAATAATAGTAATAATAACGTTGGTTTACCGGATTATTTAAGTGGTACTGCCACAGCAGCTTCTAATATCATTTCTAATCACAACGACAGCACATTGAGTGACGATGAGAGTCAACCTGATGGAAATACATTATCGAATCTGATAACATGTTCTGATTCAGCTGCCAGTATCGCTAATACTGATGTTGTTACCACTATTACTACTACTATTAGTAGTAATAATAGCAATAGTACTCCCACTGGTTTAAGCAGTACAACCAATACTAATAGCACTTATTCATCCAGCATAAATCTTTCAAATTATGGCGCTTCAATACCTGGGAATCGTGAACCAGTCTATGTTTCATATGTCCGATATATGGCTAAATTCATGCCCGCCAATTGGCTTGTACGAAGTGCACAAGCATTAAAATTAAATGTTAATCAAATTAATTGTGATACAAATATGATATGGCTTAATGCATTAATTGGTCGTTTGCTATGGGATTTTCTTCGTGAACCTTATTGGTTAGAAAAGATAAAAAATAAGATTCAAGCAAAGTTGAAAAAAATACATGTAAGTAGTGTGGATTTGTATTTTGACATTTTCTTATTATTTCAGTTGCCTATTTTTTTAACCTCCAACATAATTGATGTAGTTGTGAATTATCACAAATTAACATTGATAGATTATTACTAGTGCTCTGTGAAGATGGAATCACCGAAGTTCTTCTATAAGATTTAATTTAATAGTAAAAATGAAAATTAATTGGTAACGTTTATCGATAGTTGTCCTCCATTAAATTGTTATTAGAAGTCCTAATTTGTATTTTGTCTTTTGTAACGGAAAGTATAATCTCTAATTGGAAAGCCTTAGTATCTTAGATTCGTCTCTAAGAGCGATAGACGTCAGTGTTGACTGTAAGAAATCATTAAGTAATACGATATAGAAAGAAACAATGTATTCTAACCTTTTCCAATTTGTATATGCAAATGTTGTAATGCTAGTTTTTCCTTGTTTCTAGGCGTAGGACAACTTGGTTAGTGATATATTGGAATAGTATATCTCTTTTCTCTTCCCTCAGTTAGGATATTTAATGAGACTTGAACCTTTTTATTATTATCGTGTTAAAAACCGATCAATGTTAAACTACCATTGAAAACCTGAAAGTATTGGACGACCGTTTCATCCTAGTGTGGAAAAAGCATATTTTGGAGTCCTATTCTAAGACGAAACGGCCATCCAGTGCTTCCAGGTTTTCAATGGTGATCTAATATTCATCGGTTCATAATTTTAATGAAACTTGACGACCCCCACAACCCTATACTAACAAAGATATATTCCACCGAATTATTATACAGAATAATGTTAATGCTTAAGAAATTTATATATAGAAATTTTACATGTTAACAAATAGTTTTTAAGATCATTCTATTTTTTGTTTTATCTCTGTCCAAAAATATCATAGCTTCCAAATTTCATCAATGAACTCACTGTCGTTGATATTGATTTGGGCTCAGAAATACCTGTACTAAGACGTATCGGATGTCCTTATCTGGATGCACATGGTCTATGGATTGAAGTGGATGTTGGTTATGCTGGAGGGTTCTCATTTGCTTTGGAAACAAGTGTAAGTAAATTAAACGGAGGAAAGCAACTTTGGGAGTAACAATTTTTAAAATTACATTTTTCAATGAATGTAAAAAGTTTAAAATCTCATGCTCCACACCAATTTACCTGTGCATCAGTTCAACATACGAGTTATCTCATTTGACACAAACTCCTCTTATTCTGTTTCATGTATAATTCTTCTCCTAAGGAATTTTTACGAACATCTTGATGTGTGCTTCTAAAAAATTGACATAATGAAAGCCGATGTTAAGGTGTTTGATGTGGTTGGGTAATAAAAAATGTCTATTTAGAGTAATTGTAAAAATTATGTTAAACTAGTGGTGTGCGAAAGCTCCAGAAACGAATGTACAAATTCACTCTGGTCACCAACTACACGTGACGTTTCACTTTTTTATGTATTATATTTTTAATTCACTGTGTCGGATTCCAAAACAAAAGCATTTAGTTGAGCTTATGTGCGCGGATATTATCACACAGATACATGGCCGTGTGTGTTTGCTACCTTATGTTTTCTGAATGCTAGGCCTAAATACTGACCATAAGATTAGTTTGTTTGGATTAAATTTAGCTACCTCTTATACCATTTGACATAATAGTCGTTTTTGTTATTAATTTTTATCGGAAATTTAATTTCTGGTGCTATCCTTTACTGCATACTGTTCGGAACTGAGTCATTAAAAAGGAACATGAACTGCAATTATTATTATTATTATTATTATTAATATTATTATTATTAATATTATTATTATTATTATTATATTTTGTTTCATCAACGTGTGTTTCGAGTAATCTGTATTGGATAGCTATGTTGATAACTTCCGGACTCGTACTATGTTTTGATTATTTTCTGTCCGGATTTGGGGGATTCTTAGTTTTTAGAAAGTCATTAGTTTCTTAATTCGATATTTAGAGATTACCTAACTAAGCATGTGTAGATTGACTTGTTAATCAACATTTCACTTTTTGATGTTAATTTCATTATGACTCAATGATCAGTTTGCATAAAATATTATTTAGTAATTTATCTTAACAAAGTAATTATTCCTTCAATAGTATTTATCACGGATCAGTGTCAGTATTATTATCATGAGCCCACTAGTTACTTACTTCAAGAGCAGTCATTGGAGTTCTAATAGGAAGTCGTAGCCGGTGGAGTCCAATGATTAAATGATCGTTGCTTCATGTAGCAAACTGTACTAAAAGAGAAATATGTTTTATTGAACGTCTACAAAATTGTTTAATTGTTTGCCGCTTGTTACGAGTTCTTAAATTGAATGAACGCTGCTGATGAGTTCCACAACAGGTTCAGTCCCAGTGTTGTATATTTGGATTTTTTGAGGTTTATCGTGCTAGGTATTTGCAATAAACTACCGTGTAACTCCTTTGATCAATACATATAAATCACGCAGTTTACCTCTGACTGACCTTGGAGAATTGTAAGCCGTTGGATACACGTAACTCAGGATCATTTTCAAATCCACCTTTCATAAATCACTCGCCTCTTCAAGATAGTATATTCCTTAGCTTTAGCTAAATATTTATCAGAAAAATTTGAGGATTTTGAAATTATTATTTCTTCTTTTGAGTCCCATAATTTACGATTACTATGCACTAGATTTCATGTTGAGAAAATCATTTACAAAGTTGAGGCTTTGAGACACACTTTTATTGTATGTAAATAATGTTGGTCCTACACAGCTCTCCAAGTTAAAGTTGGTGGAAGGTTGTTCGAACAAGGGATTCAATGGTTACAGGTCGAATGCTTTAAACACAGCCATGATAACTAAAACAAATTTGTTTAAACTTAGGGTACATAATACATATATAAATGTTTGTGTTTACTCAATGAGAGATATGTGTCTTAACTATATTAGGACGTACTTTTATTTCATTAGTTCGTGTGAGTTTTATTCATTTTACATCGATTTATGAGGTTGAACAATATTTCAACCCATTTTATACATTGATTGGTTTTTTTAATTATCAAGGGGCATCGATCTCTTCATAAAAACCAACGTAACAGTAAATCAATAATCCATTAATAAACAATGTTAACATGGGGTCTATATTCACAACGTATTGATAATAGCCTGTTATATATATACCATGTTGTATCTTGAGTTAATAACAATTTCCTGTTAATTTTCTCAACAAACAAATTGTTTCATACTCTTTATCTCTGAAGATAAATGACAGCTATATAAATGAGAGTAGGAGAAACAAAATATCTAGATTTGTATGCATGAGAATTTAATGTGTTAGTAGAATATTTTATTTTTCACTATTCTCTCAGCTCTTCCCAAGTCGTTATTTTGTGTCTTCACCTATAATTGTTATAAGCTTATCGATTTGTGTGCATGTGCATGGCTGTGAGTGTTTTCAACAAGCAATTAATGAAATTTGTAAAACCTATTGTGTCATGTAAACTGTGAGTTTTTAACGTCCTACATATGGTTCTTGTTCCTACTCTACTATTTATTATTATTATTATTTATTAATGTACTTGATACTTTGATCAGCATATAATGTTAGGATAATATGAAGGAAAAATTCCGTACCTGAACTTATTTTGTATCCTTTTGTCATAACTTAATAACTATTTGTTTACTTATTCCCTAACTATGCATTACGTTTAATATTTATGATGTAGATTGTTTTTATTAATCGATTGAACGTAGCACCCAGTTTTAGCGAGTTTCACACCCATTGATTGATATTAATCACCACTGAAATGGTCTTTCACTTAATTGGTCATTGTGTGATATAGTGGAATTTTGTTGGTTGTAGTAGGTGTCCTTCGGTTCTAGGTATTAACTCTCTTTAAGTTGATCAACCCTATCTCACATAGATGAACACATACTTCTTTAAGATCTCCATTCTACTTTTCAAATCATAAAATAAACCCATCACTTGACTAAAGGCTTAGAATAGAAGTGCAGCCACCAAGTATTTGTATGATCAAGAGCTAAACGTGATTATTTCTCTTTTAAGGATTAAATTCATAAATTTAAATTACTTTGCATCTATTTCAATGTATACAACTGGATAATATCATTAGCAATCACAGCTGTAGTATATTTGAAAGGTGAGAACATGAACATGTACTTTGTAAACAAGCTACATTGACATTCGTTTCTAAATTAACTTGGGTTACTAACTGATTAACTAGAGTAGAGCGCTTAATCTAAATAAAGCAGGGATATGAACCTAACTTTTCACAATGAAGTGTTTAAGTCACTCATCCACAGTTTTAAATGAATCGTATTACTTCTTAATGTGTAATTAAGTATCATCTATTTATCAAAGCTGACTCAATTAGAACTAATATTTATTTATTTATAGTATTCTTCAGTGTTGGATGCTTCGATAATTCACTACATATTTCTTTGTTTGTTTAATATTTTTTATTTAGGTTAATTTAATGCGGTGGAATCAAAAACTTCGTGAAGAAAAAGATATTACCTATTCATCAGGTTCGATCGTTTATTTATTTATTTCTAAACGAGATTTGTTCTATTTTTCCATAAAAGTTATGTGTTTCAAAAGTGAAATTTCGTATCATAGCATTAAGCCTTGTGGTATATTACTATGATCTCTTCGCTTAAGCGTGGTTGGTACTACTGTCCATAAAAATGTTACACTTTGTAATTTACGTTGAGGACGACATGATTTCTGTAACCAATCGTTTGATATTTCAGGTGAAATGACTCAGAATCAGTCTGAATGGCTCAGGTGCGTTCACTCTTTTTCATCTCTTAAGTCCTGAGTTTCAAAATTTTCTTGTATTTTTCAATCACATGGACTAATTCTTTCCCAAATCATACCATTTGTAGCTATCTTTTTCCTGCTACTCATATTGTCATTAATTCTATTTCTCTGGGATTTGTCTTGATTATTTCAAATTGTTGTGTTAATTTAGTGTGACAACATGAAGCACTATACATGTTTAACGGGTTCTACGTTTCATATGGCTAACTGACTTATTTTTATTGTATAGAATTTGATTTATTGATAAAGACTACAGGTATAATAGCTCTGAGCGTTTTTGTGAAATACTCTGTAATTAATTTTTTTATCAGTCTCCCCCAATTCCAATGATAAAGTTGCAAATATAAGGTACTTTTGTCTTTTAAATGAACTATTCTTTTGTTTGATTTTGTCATCGATATTTTCCAAAAGCGTTCGGATTAATAATAATAATCTCCCCCTAAACATGTCAAAAAATGTAGCTGCATCTATCAGTAACGGTATACTTGCTATTGATTCTATGTACTTTGCAATGAAAGTTCCACTTATTTAAGAAGTGAGTTGCTTAGATTTCATGGGTGCGCAACGTTTACCACTGGCAGCTACACTTGTTCTTTTTAAATCAATTAGTATTCTCCACTTAATTGTTCATTATTAATAAAACTGCGCTTATATGTTAAAATTTAAACTTTTGCTTTTCATGGAGAACATAATAAACTTGACCAATGAGACAGTAACAACACAGTTGAATGCTATATATCTGCTTACCGACATAAAGAGTGATCACTTGTGAATAACATTTCAGTATTCATTTCAACTAGTATTCGATATATAAGTAAATATTTTTGAAACTATTCGATCTTTCGGGGGGGTGACGAGTCTATTAACAAATAATGAAAATGTTTAGTGAGAGTCAAAGTGAAGCGTCAATAACAATCAACAACTGAAATTATTACCATCCAAGATTATCAAAACACAAAATCTTATACTATATGGTTGTAGGTAGTCATGTATCTTTGTGATTTTCTTTAAAATCTTTTACATGAGTATTTTTTTTATGTAAAAAAAAGATGAAAGTGCAATTAAATCAAACCCTTTTCTTTTTTCGTCCACATTCTCCCAGATAATTTTGCTCAAAATTCACTATCCAATGAATCTCTACCAAAAGTTCATTCTCGTTCGATAACAAAAATGGCCGCTTACCTATCTGATGAAGAGGACAGTGCTGATTCAACAACTGACTCTGAATTAGATGAAACAACTAATATTAGTCAAAATTGCAGTCCAATAAATAGTTTACGACCTGGGCGTAACTTACCATCCACAGGACTAATCATAGGTGGAATGAAATCCGGTGATAATGAACGTGTAAACCCTGAAGACAACAGGTAAAACATTGCTATAATTTAAAAATAAATATTGGAAAAAGTCTCTGCTAGTTAACACAACAAAGTCTCTTCATGTTTCTTAGCCGCTTGAAGGTGTTTCTTATTATCGGATGTTATGAGGATTTTAGAATTTTATAGTCACCATTACTGACTGATATTTTTTGGCAACCACTGAAAAATATGAAGCAATAGACAACGGTTTCGTCCTAGTATGAGTACCTCATTAGTGTTCATCCACGACCCCACGGAAGATCGAGCATATGACCTTCAGATCTCATCGTAAAGACTATCAGTTGTGTTGGTTGGTTGATAGAATGGATTTTAAATTATATTCTTTATATGCTGCGGTAAGAAAATACTAAAGATATAAAAGTCT